ATATGAAAAAAAAATATATAAAAACAATTTATGGAAAATATGTTCCTCAATAAAAGTATATATATTTTTTCCTATAACATGAATATAATATTTATTATATATAATACAAGGATATTATTATATATTTACATGATAATATACATAAAAAAATGGTTAAACAAAATATATTATTATACTAAATGAGTATATAAGAAATAATATAGTGCATGACATCACATATATATTATATATAATGATATAAACACAGTCATAATAAAGTACTTATTATTACAAAGTATATATATAAATAATATATTTGCAAATGAAAAAGATTAAGTAATATATATAAAAGAAAAATTTATATAATGCATTTATAACATATATATATTTTATATATAATAATTTTTACATTAATAACAGTATAATATATAATTCAAATATACATAATATAAAATATTAATATTATTCTAAAAATATCTATAATAAAAATGATTAAAAATTAAAACAATTAGGGCCCCCAAAATAAAACATGCATAAATATTGAATACAAAATATCATTAATTAAAATAATAGTAATTAATATATACAATAAAACATATCCATGATCACAAAAGCATGATAAAAATAAACCTATACTTATATTAAAAACAAAAGAAACCAAAAAAATTAATTCAGAATATTGAATAATATATCCTAAACCTGTTCTCAATACCTAAAACCTGTACCACAGTAAATCAAAACTAAACATTAAACATTACTAATAAAACGATAGCCTAAAACTCAAATCCTTAATAAAAATAATGAAAAATAATCACTAAACAATAACCATAAATACAAAAACATAGATATTGAAAAATAAAACCTAGAACCATAACACTCAATACTAAACATTAAATATAACAACTAAAACATAAACCTAAATTACAAAACCTGATATACTAAACAAAAAAACTGATCTCTAAATCCTACAACCTAAACCCTGAACCCTAAAAGCGTGAAACCTTGAAACCTGAACTCTAAAACTATATAAGTATTATATATTATAAAATATCAGATCATCTATATATATTTCGTTTAATTTATATGTAATTATTCTAAATTATTACATTTCATACAATTTTTTTTTTAATGTGTATTATTTTAAAAATTTACATTGATAAATATAAATAATAAAGCATATATAATTATGTAGTATATTTTTTTGACTATTAATTATATATATTATTATATGTGAAATAAAATAATATAGTAAACAGTTTATATGCATGATCATAAGCAATATTTGTATTATATGTTTTTATTTAACTATCAAATCAGTAAAAATATATTATTTTTATTAAATATATTATATATCAATTATTTTAGATAAATACTATTATTTTTCTAATAATATATTATGTGTGCTTCTTGTTCTATTATTAATATATGTAAAAATATATATTATTTTTATTTTAGAAAAAAATATATTAATATATTTAATGTGTAATCGAAATTATTATTACAGTTGCTTTTTATCATTTTTATGTGAATTATGTAGTTTTATAAAGATAAAAAAAAAAAAAATTTTTTATAAAGTCTTTATATTTAAAAATCAGTAATTGTATATTAATAAATTTCATCATTTCTTTTAATTCCAATACTAACCTACTACATTCTCATCCAAGATGGAGGGAAGTATAGTATGTGTGAATTATTATAATAAAAATTAAATCCCTGTAATATTTCTTTACTATAATTTCCTTATATTTGCAAACGTTGTTCAATGTAATAAGATTTTGAACTTAATAATATTTTTTTTTATCTAAGTATACATTAGTAGATGAATTTCATGAATGTAATAAAATAATAGAAAAATATAAAAATTTTGACCCCAATAATCAGCATGTATCTAAATGTATGGAAATTGAAACAAATTATTCAGGCCCAAAAGTTATACCATTTATGAAAATGTGTTATCAAGCTATATCATATTTAATTGAAGTTAAAATTAGAAGAGATAAAATATCTAATGAAGCATATTATAAATACTTGTATTATTGGATATATTATGAAAACAAGAAATTTGGTGATAAGACTTATACAAAACAAATTTATTATTCAATCTTAAAGAAATTTCATGAATCAATCCAGACTACATTCATTAAATCAGAAGAAGTTATTACTGATAGTATATTGGAGAAATTGCAGTATGTATATGATATGAATTCTATACTTTATGATATAAAATGGGATGTTACATACTGTAATAAAGATAGGTGCGCATGTGCTAAGAAATGTGCTGATATATATATGAGTCAAATAGATGAATGTAAATTCAATAGCGAATCCGATTTTTGTAATGCCTTAAAAACTATTAGAGATAAATTTATTCTTTTAAATTTACCTTATAATTGTGAAATTAATTTACCAGAAATATTATCGCATTCAGAATTTCAAAAAAAAGTGATACATTCACCCAAAACTTACAACATTCGAATTGCATTTTTAACCACAGTTATTCTGACCTTATTAACAACAATTATTCTATATATTTTTTATAGGGTTATTGAGATTGTTATTTATATATATATGCACTACAAAAAATTTCTTTTAGATAGATGTAATAAAAAATACATTGTACAACAAAACATATTTTTTTTTTAATACATAAATTTATATTTATATCATTTAGTTTAAAAAATTTAGTATTTCTTTACGCCGTTCAACATTAAGTAATAGAAGCTTATGCAATAATATAGATAACGAATTTAATATATTTCAAGCATCTGAAAAAATCATATCTCTGTCAACAAACAACAGACATAATATGTTATATTATTCGTCATAATATTTCAAATCAATACATAATACGATTAAAATGTTTTATTAAGTAGACATATGAGATATTTTTATATTATTAAATGAGGAAGATTTATGTCTAATATATTCACAGAGAAATAAAACAATTCTTATAAAAAAGGAAAAAAATATATAATTTTGTAAACAAAAGAATAGGGTATTTCAAAAAAATGTGCCAATATCACATTGAACATGAAGTTCCTTGTGTATAAATAATGGGTAGAATTACAACGATTAAATTTCGTGTGGATCCTGATTTAATAGAGTGTACTTCTTATTAACAATTTATCATTATTTTATAATGCAGTAATTTTTACGTAAAAAAATCATAACCTATAAACGTTGATATAGTAATGAAAATGCAACACCATTATATCATATTAAAAGAACATATATGGTTAATATGTTAACATAAACATATTCATATTATTATTTTATGTTATTATTGAATAATGTATTACAATTCATTTAATACACAATAATTTATTATCAGTAATAATTGCTGTTTATAATCCTTATAATAAAATTAATTGAATTCATTTCATGAGATTCACATTATTTAAATATATTCAATTTACTACATATGTTCTTATTATTACGAGGATTCACATTATTACAACATATAGTGCAATATTTATTTTTTTTTTTTATGATAAACTAATAACTCTGTAATCTTATATTATATTTAAAATATTGTATGAATTTTTCAGTAAATCATAAATATTATAAATAAAATATATAAATACTATGTACATATTTCTTTACATCTATATGTAAAATTATTATATTAT